CCACCTTGGCCTCCCAAAGTGCTGGGATTACAGGCATGAGCCACCGAGCCTGGTCAAGATGCATGCTTTAAAGCCTATCAAAAAGTCTAGATAGGAATGCTGCTCCTATCAAAGCACCAGAACTTTCCTTTTGAAGTGGGAATAGTTGGCAGACACAACATGTATACCCGCTTTTCCCTTAGTAGGAAGAATGGCCCTTATCATAAACGCGAAGATTTATTTAACTGAGGAAGCAGTTTAGAAGTCATGTCAAAACTATGTCATCTGTTTTTCACATTTAAAAGAGTTTCCTCCTCCCCTCATTTAATTTCTTTGGTTTTGCTTTTTAAAACATAAACATTCATTTCCTGCCTAAGAGTACATTTATTGAGAAAGCCCAGCCATGGCCTGATATTCATGTAATTCTCAACAATTAGGGGAGCCCAGGCTGGAGTGCAGTGGCACAATCCTGGCTCACTGCAACCTCTGCCTCCCGGGTTCAAGTGAGTCTCCTGCCTCAGCCTCCTGAATAGCTAGGATTAGAAGCATGCGCCACCAGGCCCACCTAATTTTTGTATTTTTAGTAGAGACTGGGTTTCACCATTTTGGCCAGGCTAGTCTCAAACTCCTGAGCTCAGGTGATCTGTCCACCTCAGCCTCCCAAAGTGCTGGGATTACAGGCGTCAGCCACCAAGCCCTTCTCCTCCCTCCTTCCCTTCCGGTGTGAGCCACCAAACCCCTCCCTCCCTCTTGTTCTATTGCCCAGGCTAGACAGCAGTGGCAAAAACATGGGTGCCCTACAGCCTCTATATCCTGGGCTCAAGCAACTGTCCCACGTGAGCCTCCAGAGTAGCTGGGATAACAGGTGGGTGCCACCATGCCTGGATAATTAAAAACAAAAATGTATGTTTTTGTAGAGTGAGGGTCTCACTATGTTGCCCAGCCGGGTCTCAAGCAACCCTCTGCCTCAGTCTCCCAAAGTGCTGGGATTACCGGCATGAGCCACTGTACCTGGACCACATGATCGCATTCATAGACACACTGGCTCCACACACTGAGCCACGTGCTGAGCTACTGAGTTCCCCTGTGACTAGGCTGTTTTAGCTTTGACTTTCCTGTGTTCTTGTGACATCTCTCACAGATAGAAAGTAGCCTTATCTTACCTGCATGATAGCACAGGCATGGCACACACTGGTCTGTTCAGCACGGAATACAAAATGGTTGAGTGCAGCGACAACACCTAGAAGGCCGTGACCAGTCATCTCATTCCATCCTTACTTTTTTTTTTTCCGAGTCGGAGTTTTGCTCTTGTTGCCCTGGCTGGAGTGCAATGGTGCGATCTCGGCTTCCCGCAACCTCCGCCTTCCGGGTTCAAGCAATTCTTCCACCTCAGCCTTCCGCGTATCTGGGTTGACAAGCATGTGCCACCACGCCCGGCTTATTTTGTGTTTTTAGTAGAGACTGGATTTCTCGATATTGGTCAGGCTGGTCTCGAAGTCGCGACCTCAGGTAATCCGCCCTCCCAAAGTGCTCAGGTAATCCTCGGCCTCCCAAAGTGCTGGAATTGCAGGCGAGTATTGACCAGCGTAAAAAGTGCTAATAGTAGGCCGGGCGCGGTGGCTCAAGCCTGTAATCCCAGCACTTTGGGAGGCCGAGGCGGGTGGATCACGAGGTCAAGAGATCGAGACCATCCTGGTCAACATGGTGAAACCCCGTCTCTACTAAAAATACAAAAAATTAGCTGGGCATGGTGGCGCGTGCCTGTAATCCCAGCTACTCAGGAGGCTGAGGCAGGAGAATTGCCTGAACCCAGGAGGCGGAGGTTGCGGTGAGCCGAGATCGCGCCATTGCACTCCAGCCTGGGTAACAAGAGTGAAACTCTGTCTCAAAAAAAAAAAAAAAAAAAAAAAAAAAAAAAAAAAAAAAAAAAAAAAAAAAAAAAAAAAAGTGCTAATAGTGTGCTCCCGTTTCTGTTAGCAAACACACCTGTGCGCACACGGAGTTTGGTGCAGTCCCGAGGGGAGGGCGGGGCCGACTCGGAGCCTCCAGGGAACGCTCTTGAGTAACTCGCGGAGGTGGGACCCGTTCCCACCTAGGACCACGGGCTCCAGATGGCCGGGCAGATGCAGCCGGCTCCCGCCTCCTCAGGGAACCCAGGGGGCCGGCAGCTTCTCACCCTTGCAGCAGATCGGCTGAGAGAACGCGGCATCCAGCCGAGAAGCCCCGGGGAGCCCAAGCAGCGGAGCAGAGGCCGCCGGGCAGCCCGCGTGGAGAAATCGGATCTGCGGGGACCGCCTGCAGCTCCAGCGCGGGGAAAGGATGAGTGAGAGACCCCGGCGCTCCGCAGTCCCCCCACGGACTTCACAGCCCCCGACCCTCGCGGGCCTCCAGACCAGCGGGCAGCGGCGGAGAGATTCCCCAGCGGCGTGGCGGCAGCCCACGTGGAGCCCACGGGCTTCCTTGCCCTGAGCAGCTGCAGCTGCAGCCCCCGCCAGCCCTAGTCCCGAGTCCAGCCCCGAGGGCAGCTCCTGCCCGGCCTGGGGTAAAGCCCGCTGAATGCCAGGGAGGGAGCGGGGAGGCCGGGCGTTTTCAGGAGTCAAATAACCCTGCAGCTGCCGCGGGACCCAGACGCGAGCCAACCGCCCTGTCCCGCCTGAGCTTTGGGCTCGCAGCCTTGGGAGCAGCCCTCCGGTGTCCATCACAGCCAGCGCCCGAACCCCGGGGACCTCAGCACAGTCCCCTGGGTCTTAAGCATGGGGCCAGGGGCCTGGGGACTGGGGGCTGCGCTCGGCCTTGTCCGCCACTGTTGGCGCCTGAACACTCCTCCCCGGGGTCTGAGCTCGACGTCCCAGCCTGTGGGGTACCATCCCAGGCCACCTGCAGGCAAGGGACCTCGCCTGCCCGCCCAACCTGTGGCAGCCACCTCCAACACCCAGGGGTTTACAACACCCAGCAGGGACTGCCTGGGTTCCAGAGGGTTGTCCCTCAACTGTGACTGCCCTCACCCACATCACACCGACTGCTCCTGGGCCTGGGATCAACCGCAAGCTCAGCTGGGGCTGCCACTACCAGGATCAAGCCGGGCACTTACAGGACACCGAATTGCTCCCCTGATTCCATTAACGCCAGAGCCAGCCTGCGTCGCTCTGGGGTTCAAGAAGAGGCAAGCTCAGGTCACCACTGGGTCCCAAAGACTGGCCCACCTTAGCCTCCTAGTCGCCAGCAACCACAGCTTCTACTAATAACCACACCCTAGGCCACCCAAGAAATCATTCAGAGCCTGTGGTACTACCCCAAATCAAAGTGCCACCGAACCAACACCGTATCTACCTTTTCAGGAAGAAGTGCTCCCCTAGGAAGCGAATTCACAAACTTGGAAGAAGCAATTTACACAGGATGGGCAGATCTCAACAGAAGGACACAAGAGACATGCAAAAGCAAGGAAATGGGACGCCTCCAAAGGAGCCCAGTGATTTTCCAGCAGCAGATGCCCATCCAAAAGAAATTGAAGAATTGTCAGATAGAGAATTGGGCATATTAATTTTAACCAAGATTAGGGGTTTACAAGAGACTTCTGAAAAAGAAAGGAACAAAACGTCGCCGGGCGCCGTGGCTCACGCCTGTGATCCAAGCACTTCCGAGGCCACGGCGGGCAGATCACCTGAGGTCAGGAGTTCAAGACCAGCCTGCCCAACGTGGTGAAACCCCGTCATTAAAAAAATTTTTTTAATTAAAAAAGAAAGGAACAAAATGTCAATAGCAATTGTGGATATAGTTGACGTAGCTATCAACCAGATACTGAGTTTTCCAGAGTACACAGCAAATATGGAACTGAGGAAATCAATGTATGAAATACGAAGTACACTTGAAAGTTTCAATGATAGACTAGACCAAGTAGAAAAAAAAAACTCTCAAAACTTAAAATCTGAAGCCTTTTTCTCAATTCAAAGAGATTTAAATCATTATACTCTGGCCATTCGTGTGAACAAAATCTGCTGGGTTGTTACACTGGGGTCTTGGATAATCATTAAAGGTGAAAATGAAAATCATTGCTTTTTGAGGTAGCCAATTTTGTGAGATTGATTTTTGTTAGGCAGCAGTCATGGAAAGATGATTTTGTTCAGTTAACATTAATAGTACTCACAGTAATCCTAACAGGTGAATGTGGTTCAAAATAAATTGCCAGGGAATTGGCATGGTCTAGAAAAGCCACTCTCTCCAACAGATTGCCTACACAGCTACATGTCAGCCTTCCTCACTGTGAAAGTGACAGACACGGCCAGGCGCAGTGGCTCACGCCTGTAATCCCAGCACCTGGGGAGGTTGAGGCAGGTGGATCGCCTGAGGTCAAGAGTTCGAGACCAGCCTGACCAATATGGAGAAACCCCGTCTCTACTAAAAATACAAAATTAGCCAGGCATGGTGGTGGTGCATGCCTATAATCCCAGATACTTGGGAGGCTGAGGCAGGAGAATCGCTTGAACCCGGGAGACAAGAGATTGCTCCATTGCACTCTAGCCTGGGCAACAAGAGTGAAACTCTGTCTCAAAAAAAAGAAGCATTTTTATTCATCTCCTTTAGGTGCCTCAACTTTTTCTCCCACTCTCAGCTGAAAAGAGATACATCTACCATTTCATCCACTTAGCCGATTTTCTTGTTGGTTATGTTAAAAAGTTACAAACATAACAATTATGAATGAAAAGTAACTCCATGGCCAGGCCTGGTGGCTCATGCCTGTCATCCCAGCACTTTGGGAGGCCGAGGTGGGTGAATCACAAGGTCAAGAGTTCAAGACCAGCCTGGCCAAGATGGTGAAACCCCGTGCCTACTAAAAATACAAAATTTAGCTTGCCATGGTGGCATGCGCTTGTAATCCCAGCTACTTGGGAGGCTGAAGCAGGAGGATCGCTTGAACCCGGGGAGCAGACTTCGCAGTGAGCCGAGATTGTGCCACCGTACTCCAGCCTGGGCAACAGAGCAAGACTCCGTCTCAAAAAAAAAAAAAAAAAAAAAAAAGCTATCGCTTCCTTGGGGTTGCGCTACTGTCCAATGCGCGCATAGCGAGGGCAGTACTGCTAACGCCTGAACAACACACCCGCATCAACTACAGCTTTGCTTTACCTTGGTGCAATTTTTGGAAAAATGAAAACCTGCTTAAAAAAAAGAAAAAGAACTCCTAAAATGATTAAAACAAACTCGCTTCTACAATAAACCATAAACTCACCGTATCTAGTGATTCTGTGCATTAAATCTCTTGAACATGTTTACCAATTTGGTGTTATGAAAAGTTTTTTAGAAGTTGTGTATGGGCTGGGCACAATGGCTCAGGCCTGTAATCCCAGCACTTTGGGAAGTTGAGGTGGGTGGATCACCTGAGGTCAGGAGTTTGAGATCAGCCTGGTTAACATGGTGAAACCTCATCTCTACAAAAAAATATAAAAATTAGCCAGGCATGCACTAATTAGGAGGTGTGAGCCATCAAGCCCCGCCGATAACTTTTAAAATTTGAAAAAATCCCCTCTTCAGGAATTGGGTATGTAAATTAAAAAATTTAAAAAAGAAAAGAAAAGAAAAGAAAAATCCCTGAATGACCAGGTAAATCTTTTAGGCTTATAATGAAAATAGCAATGCATTTCTTATTGTAACTACTTTGAAAATATTCACCAACCACATTCCTTTTCTAGTCTATCACATTCTTGATTTCCCCATCAAGTTTTTTTTTTTTTTTTTTAAGACCTGAGTCTTGCTCTATTGCCCAGGCTGGAGTGCAGTGGTGCAATCTTGGCTCACTGCAACCTCCAACTCCTGGGTTCAATTAATTCTCCTGCTTCAGCCTCCCGAGTAGCTGGGATTATAGACACCTGCCAGCATGCCAGGTTCATTTTTGTATTTTTAGTAGAGATGGGGTTTTGCCATGTTGGGCAGGCTGGATTCGAACACCTGGCCTCAAGTGATCCGCCTGCCTCGGCGTCCTGAAGTGCAGGATGACAAGTGTGAGCCACTGCGCCTGGCCTAGAACTCTTAAAGAAAATGAAGAATGCGTTTTTATTTCCTTTTTTGCATATCCAAGACATTGCACTCAAGTTTCTGAATCTGCCTTACTATTAGGTTGGCACAAAAGTAATTGGGGATTTTGCTGTTAAAAATTAAAAATGGCAAAAACCACGATTATTTTGCACTAATCTAACATTTAGGAAAATGTAATGAGTTCCACGAGGGTGGGGATTTCCGTCTTTTTCATGTATGCTGTCTACAGTCAGCAGCTAGAACAGCGGTGCACACACAGCAGGCACTCAACCGGTCAGTATTTGTTGGGTGAATCAAAGAATGAAAATCATATTCAAGCCCATACACGTGGATTGAACTACTGTTGTATTATTGGGCTACAACAGTTACAATTCCACAAACTGTGTAAGTGGACATTCGTGAAGGTGGTAAATCTCTCTATTTTACAGCTCTTTGGGAAGTTCTGGGGTCAGGAAATCAGAAATCGATGATAGGATTTTCTCAGCTGAACTCAGGACAGAGCACAGTCTGAGCAGGACTGGGGCCTTCCTGCAGGTAGAAACACTTCCTCTGCAGTCACAGGGAGAAGACAACATCAGCAGCTGGATGCAGTTTCAGATCTGCACCAAGAAAGACGCCGATTTCACTAGGGCTGTGGCAGCCCCAGGTGGAGGCTGTCTAGGTCATGATTGACATCTCCTCCCGGTCTCTGCTCTCAGACATGGAGTTGATGATGCTTTTTAAATACTTTATGAATTCCATCCGGATCTCCTCGGGGTCATCTTCCAGGTTTGAGTGCACCAGCTTCAGCTTGTTCAAGGGTGGCGCTTGAAAATGAAAATAAGGTTCATTGGACAAGCAGTCTCAATGAGGGACTCTTTCTAGCTCCCAGTAAAATTTCTAGAAGACATCTGTTTAACTTTCTGAAGTTCACAGACCAAGTTGTCTTTCCTGATGCCAGTGAACAAAGAAAGGTTTTGCTATACTGCCACCTGGTCACAGGACGGAAACTTCAGAAACCACCCTCCAGGTCCCCTGCTTTTTCTTTTTTTTGAGATGGAGTCTTGCTCTGCTGCCAGGCTGGAGTGCAGCGATGCCATCTCGGCTTACTGCAACCTCGGCCTCCCGGGTTGAAGTGATTCTCCTGCCTCAGCCTCCTGAGTAGCTGCGATTACAGGTATGCGACATCATGCCCAACTAATTTTTGTATTTTTAGTAGAGACAGGGTTTCACCATGTTGGCCAGGATGGTCTCGATCTCTTGACCTTCTGATCCGCCCAACTTGACATCCCAAAGTGTTGGGATTACAAGTGTGAGCCACCGCGCTTGGCCATTCCTCTGTTCTTAAACCAGAAAGGAATAGATTCTCTCTTTCATTTTGTTTCTGAGTATTTTTGGAGTTGTTTTTCAGGATTACTGTGTGACCTCTGGGATGTGTGTGTCATGTGAATTGGAGGTTTTTCTCCACAAAAGTTCTTTCAGCAAAGAGTGCCTCCCACCAGCCATACCCAAGAATAGCTACACGCAGGACTTTCCACTCTGTATACTGCTTTGTTTTTCTTTTTGTTTTTGAGACAGAGTTTCACTCTTGTTGCCCAGGCTGGAGTGCAATGGCACGATTTCAGATCAGTGCAACCTCCACCTCCCAGGCACAAGTGATTCTTCTGCCTCAGGCTTCCGAGTAGCTGGGATTACAGGTATGTACCACCACGCCTGGCTAATTTTTGTATTTTTAGTACAGATGAGGTTTCACCATGTTGGCCAGGCTGGTTTTGAACTCCTGATCTCAAGTGATCTGCCTCGCAAAGTGTTGGGATAACAGGCGTGAGCCATCACACCCAGCCTTTTTATATTTTTGAGATGGTATCTTACCCTGTCACCCAGGCTGGAGTGTAATGGTGAGATTTCAGCTCACTGCAACCTCCACCTCCCGGGTTCAAGCAATTCTCCTGCCTCAGCCTCCTGAGTAGCTGGGACTACAGGCGCCTGCCATCATGCCTGGCTAATTTTTGTATTTTTAGTAGAGACGAGGTTTTACCATGTTGGCCAGGCTGGTCTTGAACTCCTGACCTCAGGTGATCCACCCGCCTCAGCCTCCCAAAGTGCTGGGATTACAGGCAGGAGACACCATGCCCAGCCAAACCTGGCAATTCTGACTCACATGGAGAGGGCAACAATTGCCTAGGGTACAGTATGTGCTCAGTAACTGGACGGAGCTGCTGGTTTCTAGGACATGAGACAATATGTAGGTATCCAAAACGCTCAAGACAAAAGAGGAAGAGAAATTCCAGTTTCCTTACACAAAGACAGGCTTCCTTTGTCATCTCCAGAGCCTGGTTTGTGGTGCGCAATTAGCATGCACTGTGTGTCCTGTAAGGACTGCTGCTGGACGAAGCAGGAATACCACATTTCCGTTTCCTTCCGGTGGCTTGGGATGTCAGCATTGAAAACGATCACCACTCCATGGGCAGTCCTTCATCAGGGCTGGCCAGCAGGACTCAAACCTGCAAGGAAGAAAAGGAACAAGCGGGAATGTTAGGTTGTTCGGGTTTTCTTTTCTTTTTTTTGACAGAGTGGTTCTCTTGCCTCAGCTTCCTGAGTAGCTGGAATTACAGGAATGCACCACCATGCCCAGCTAATTTTGTATTTTTAGTGGAGATGGGGTTTCTCCTTGTTGGTCAGTCTGGTCTCTAACTCCCAAACTCAGGTGATCCGCCTGCTTTCGGCCTCCCAAGGTGCTGGGATTACAGGCATGAGCCACTGTGCCCGGCCTAGGTTATTCTGGATTCTAACTGTGGACTTTAAAAAGAATATCTTAGTAATAAAAGTTGGTAGATGAATTCCTTTTTTTTTTTTTTTTTTTTAAGACACAGGGTCTTGCTCTCTCAGGCTAAAGTGCAGTTGTGGGATCACAGCTCACTGCAGCCTCCAATGTGGGCTCAAGTGATCCTTCTGCCTCAGTCTTCTGAGTAGCTAGGACTATGGGTGTGCACCACATCAATTTTATTTCGTGGAAAGGTTGACAATTTCTTCATGAAAAAATTTTATTATTATTATTACTTTTTTTTGAGACAGAGTCTGGCTCTGTTGCCCAGGCTGGAGATCTTAGCTCACTGCAACCTCCACCTACTGGGTTCAAGCGATTTTCCTGCCTCAGCCTCCTAAGTAGCTGGGATTATAGGTGCACACTACCACACTGGGCTAATTTTTATATGTTTAGTACAGACGGGGTTTCACTATGTTGGCCTGGCTGGTTTCAAACTCCTGAGGCTCAGGTGATCTGCCTGCCTCATCCCGCCAAAGTACTGGATTACAGGTGTGAGCCATGGCGCCTGGCCCCTATTTTTTTTAAGATGAAGTTTCATCATGTTGGCCAGGCTGGTCTTGAACTCCTGACCTTACGTGATCTGCCTGACTCAGCCTCCCAAAGTGCTGGGATTACAGGTGTGAGCTACCCGACCCAGCCAAGGTCGATGACTTCTAACTGCATCATAACCTAATCACTAAAGTGTATAAAGCAGTGCAGGTCAGCAAATACTTTATCAAGCTCATCTTCTTTTTTTTTTTTTGAGACAGAGTTTCTCTCTTGTTACCCAGGCTGGAGTGCAATGGCGCGATCTCGGCTCACCGCAACCTCCGCCTCCTGGGTTCAGGCAATTCTCCTGCCTCAGCCTCCTGAGTAGCTGGGATTACAGGCACGCGCCACCATGCCCAGCTAATTTTTTGTATTTTTAGTAGAGACGGGGTTTCACCATGTTGACCAGGATGGTCTCGATCTCTTGACCTTGTGATCCACCCGCCTCGGCCTCCCAAAGTGCTGGGATTACAGGTGTAAGCCACCGTGCCCGGCCTATCAAGCTCTTCATATGTGCCAGGAAATATACTTGGCCCAACTCCATGGTGCTTCATGGGCAACTGATTTTTTTTTTTGAGACAGAGTCTCACTCTGTCACCCAGGCTGGAGTGCAATGGTGTGATCTTGGCTCACTGCAATCTCCGCCTCCTGGGTTCAAGCAATTGTCCTTCCTCAGCCTCCCGAGTAGCTGGGATTACAGGCATCCACCACCACGCCTGGCTAATATTTTGTATTTTTAGTAGAGACAGGGTTTCGCCATGTTGGCCAGGATGGTCTCGAA